CTCTCTCCCTCTCTCTCCCCCCCTCTCTCTTTCTCTCTCTCTCTCTCTCTCTGCCCAACGCATCTTATTTTTCGGTGGGGGGGAGAGAAGGCTGGGGGATCAACGGTGTGTGCGTGTGTCTGTGTGTGGATTTCACGCGGTTGTGGGAATGGGTGATTGGAGGGGAGGGAGGCTTTATTATTGTTGGCGGGTGGAAAACGCGTGCAGCGGTGGCGAGCACCCCGCCAGGTGTGGGGAAGAGTTGGCGGTAGATTCCCTTTCGGGTTGTCTTTTGAGGGGAATCGTCTTGTCTTCTCTTACTCTGTAAGGCTGCCCTCTTTCTTTTGTTCTTTTTATTCGTTCATTCATTCATTCATTCATTCATTCATTCATTCATTCCTGGCGGGAAATCCCTAAAGGCTGGTCTGGGAGGGAGAATGGACTGGGATAGGGTGGATGGGTGGGTACCCGCTTCTGGATGGGAATTGAATCCCCTCCTGATCGGAGTAAGGAAAGAACTAGGCACCTATTTTCTATTTTCCAAAGCCAGACAAGGAATAATAGATGGAAACTGAACAAGGAGAGATTCAACCTAGAAATAAGGAGAAATTTTCTGACAGTGTGAACCATCAATCAATGGAACAGAAGTTGCCTTCGGAAGTTGTGCCAGCTTCATTGCTTGGAAGCTTTCAAGAAGAGACTGGACTGCCATCTGTCAGAAATGGTGTAGAGTTTCCTGCTTGGGTAGGGGGTTGGACTAGATGACCTACAAGGTCCCTTCCAACTGTTAATCTGCAAAAAAATTTAAAAGGCAGGTGCTTTTTCCCTGGACGAGATTGTGACAGCATAGCGAGGTCCCTCCAGTCCAGATGTTATCCAGCCTTGTTTCCCAAGGAAAGAGCTAGTCCTTACTCAAAGCTACTGGCCAGCCTGGATCTGCTTGAGGCTTAAACAATACCCGGGATTTTCAATGCCCGCCCTCCAGCAGGCCTGCCACCTACCTCCCCCAGAGCAACGATGGTCCATTGGGCTCTCTTCGGATGTGCCGAGAGAATACACCTCCCAGGATCCTCGGCCACGATGACGACGACCCGAGAAGGTGTTTTCGGAATCTTGCAAGAAAAGCCTTGACATTGTTTTTTATCCTGGTGTTTGACTGCGAGGTGAACGAAGATGAGAAAGAGGATGGAGCATCAGGTGGAGGAACGTGAGGAAGAGGATGGAGCAGCAGGTTGGAAGGGACTTTGAAAGTCTTCTGGTCCAAACCCCGTGCCATCGCGGACAAGTCAGTCAGGGACCAATCTGTTTTCCTGTGCTGCAAAATGTTTTAACAAATTAACAGACGAGTTGGAAGAGACCTTGTAGGTCCTTTAGTCCAACCCCCCACCACCCAAGCAGGAGACCCTGCACCATTTCTGACAGATGGCAGTCCAGTCTCTTCTTGAAAGCTTCCAGGGATGAAGCTCCCACAACTTCCGAAGGCAACTTCTGTTCCATTGGTTGATGGTTCTCATTGTCAGAAAATTTCTCCTTATTTCCAGGTTGAATCTCTCCTTGTTCAATTTCCATCCATTATTCCTTGTTTGGCCTTCAGGTGCTTTGGAAAATAGCTTGATCCCTTTTTCTCTATGGCAGCCCCTCAACTATAGGAAGACTGCTATCATGTCTCCCCTGGTCCTTCTCTTCACTCGACTAGCCATGCCCAGTTCCTGCAACCGTTCATTGTATGTTTTATTTTATTTATTTATTTATTTATTTTATTTTATTTTATTTTATTTTATTATTTGTTTGTTTGTTTGTTTGTTTGTTTGTTTTTATATGCTGCCCTTCTCCGGAGACTCAGGGCGGCTTACAATGCGTTAAGCAATAGCCTTCATACTTTTGTGTATTTTATACAAAGTCAGCTTATTGCCCCCACAAACTGGGTCCTCATTTTACCCACCTTAGAAAGGATGGAAGGCTGAGTCGACTTTGAGCCTGGTGAGAATTGAACTCGCAGTAATTGCAGGCAGCTGGATGTTAAATGCTGCCTTAGTAGGAGGCATTAGCCTCCTACGCCACTCAGGCCCCTAATCATCTTGGTTGCTCTTCTCTGCACTCTTTCTAGAGTCTCACATACTTGTCAGACTTACTAAAGCTTGTACTCCTAAATAGAAATGATCCTTGGCTCCATTTGTTGAGAAAGGTACAATTTTATTTATTAGAAGTCAAGTGTATTGCAGTAATGCATAGCCAGAACTGAAAATCACGCACCTAAGTTCAACTTTTCCCTCCCTTAATTGCCTCCCATCGCTGACACCTCCACCTTATCCAATCTGGTTGAAGCAAGATGTTTACAGAAGGTCATTCCATGTGTATGCAGCTGGGTTTTTTTTTTTTCTCCCAGCCGGGTGACCTTGAAGCAGTGTCTCAGGAAGGTACAGCAATTAAAACTTTCGCTTTCCCCCCTCAAGTTTTTCTCCTTCCCATCCACCCTCCCCCGAGTCCATGAAAGACTGTGAACACATGGTAACGATTAACGAAGCCCTATCAAATGTGAGATGGCAGCTGACAGCATTTAAAAGAAAAATCATCCCAGATCTAATTCTTACTGTTATCGTCTGGAATCAGTCTTGTGCAGGATGAAGTCATCTTTATTGAAGATTACTGACTGTAATCTACTATGCTGGTCTAATCTAGTTGGATTATAGATTTTGTCTTTAGTTTCCTAGTTCACAGGAAAAGGATTGACTGGCCAAAGTCATCCATCCAGTCTCTGCGCCTCCGGTTGGATTAGGAGTGTCCTGATTCACCACCTCAAATGTTACACCTCAATAGCATTCTTGTTTATAGGTAGTCCTTGATTTACGACCACAAAATTTCTGTTGCTCAGTGAGACAGTTGTCAACTGAGTTTTGACCCATTTTACAACCTTTCTTGCCACGGTCATTAAGTGAATCACGGCAGTTGTTAAGTTAGTAACACGATTGTTAAGTGAATCTGATTTCCCCATTGACTCTGCTTGTCAGGGAGTGGAGAGGGGGCGTGGCCGGCGTCAGGCGATACGGTGTGGATTCTGGGTCTCCAGGAGAACACCGATATCCTAGCCGATTTTGGGGATCCCCAGGGATCATAGCTGTCTTGTGGAGACAGCGAAGAAAGAAGACACTGGCTGGCATGGATAGGGAATGAGCAAGTGCCGGCGTTAGTCTTCGACTCGTCGGCGAAGGAAGGCAGCCATTAAGGAGCTGTCACAAGCCAGAACGGTCACGATCTGAAAGAGGAAATGCAATAAGTGGAAATTGAACGGAGTATTGTCACCGGCTGAGTAATGGGCCAATTCACAAGTAAAAGGCAACCGTCATAAATATGAACCAGTTGCCAAGCCTCCGGATTTTGATTACATAGGGATTGCTGTAATGGTCGTAAGTGTGAGAAATGGCCATAAGTCACTTTTTTCAGTGCCACTTTGAACAGTCACTAAATGAATGCTTGTAAGTGGAAAACTACATGTATATTTTTGTTCTAATGACCTAACATCCTTTATTTCTTCTGTAGTGATTAAGGCACCAGACTGGAAACTATTTATTTTATTTTTTATTTATTTATGTTTGTCAAGAACGTATTTGGTAATAAGTATAATTGCATACATAAAATAGATACAAATAAAAGGGAACATTAGGACAGGGACGGTAGGCACGCTGGTGCGCTTATGCACACCCCTTACTGAGTTTGGAGCGGTTTACCTTGAGTTTGTATCTATTATTTGCTCGTGTATTGTTGTGGTTGAAGCTGAAGTAGTCATTGACAGGTAGGACATTGTAGCAGATGATTTTATGAGCTACGTTTAGGTCATACCGAAGGCAGCGTAGTTCTAAGTTTTCTAAGCCGAGAATTTCAAGTCTGGTGGCATAAGGTATTTAGTTGCGAGCAGAGGAGTGGAGAACTCTTCTTGTGAAATATTTCTGGACACGTTCAATTGTATTAATGTCCGATATGCAGTGCTGGTTCCAGACAGATGAGCTGTATTCGAGAATTGGTCTAGCAAATGTTTTGTATACTCTGGTTAGTAGTGTGATATTACCGGAGAAGAAGCTACGCAAGATTAGGTTTACAACTCTTAATGCCTTTTTGGCGATGTTGTTACAGTGGGCTTTGGAGTTCCACTTCTATTTTAGGCACAAAGCTAGCTGGGTAATCTTGGGCCAGTCCTTCTCTCTCATCCCTTGTTGTTGTTAGTTGCAAAGTCGTGTCTGACCCATCGCGACCCCATGGACAATGTTCCTCCAGGTCTTCCTGTCTTCTACCATCCTCTGGAGTCCATTTAACCTCACGCCGACTGCTTCAGTGACTCCATCCAGCCACCTCGTTCTCTCTCGTCCCATTCTTCTTTTGCCCTCAATCTTTCCCA